TTGTTTTGTAGCTCCTTGTAGATCACAGTTCTAATATTTGTTATGTTGAATCAGGAATATAGCTTATTGGCTCAGGAACGGGCTTTGGAGTCAGACGCCTGAGTTCAAATTTTTGACGGACTACCAACTTTTGGTATTTTTACATAATCTATCAACATGTAATATGAGCAAGAAATAAATACCCCTGTAACTTTCTAAGCTCTTGTTTCCTCTGTTGTAAAGTGGACATACTAGTAATACCTACCTTAAAAAAGATGAAATTAGGATTAAATGAGATTATGTGGGTAAAAATGTTTACTATGTTGAAAATTTACATGGTGATTACAAATAATTGTTACATGTATTTTATGTCTATTACTCTAATAATCTAGTCAGACTTTCTGCACTCTAGGTCCTGAAAAGAGAATACAATTTTTTATAAATACATTAAAATTCTCTGAACTGCCAGTGATGGTTCCATCTGAAATCCAAAATTAAGGAAATACAAAACATAGGGCCTATATTTCCATTTGCAACCTTTCCTTGATATTAGTATTTTCACAACTGTGGCCAGATTGCAACCAGATTGCAATCAGAACACTCTGCATATCAGTTTGTTCTCAGACCCAGATATGGAAAGATGACTTTCACAACCAATACATATGTTCTACAATATAATACCAACTTCAGGTAAATTGGTTTGTTTAACAGACACAATCATTGATATCTACAGTGCCTTAGTATAATCAGCTATGATCTCACAGAAGCTAAGGGGTGCACAAGTTTGTCACTCAAATTTTAAGTTTGTTTTTAGTGATATTAATTGAAATTCTAAACACATAAGATGATGACATTTCTTAAAATTCTTTTTCTACCAAATGTTCTGGAACCTTCATGTATCAGTTAAAAGTGAGCCAGGTGATGCTGCAATAACAAATAATTCCCAAGTCTCAGTGGTTTAACAAAACACACATTTATGTTTTGCTTATGCTACATTCCTATGGATTGTCAGGCACCTCTGCTCCTTTTCTTTGCTTGGTGATTCAGACTGCCACGTACTTTCACGATTACAATGGCATGGAGAAGACAGCAGGGTGAGTGACACACTGGCTTTTTTTTTTCAAAAAAGTTTTTTTTTTTTTTTTTTTTTTTTTGGTGCTGGGGATTGAACTCACAACCTCTTGCTGGCCAGGCAGGTGCTTATCCCTGGCCCGACATACTGGCTTTTAATCCTTCTTCCCAGAAATGACATTGCTATCACGTACATTTCATTGGTCAAAGAAAGCCAAATGACTAACATTAAAAAATTCAGGGAATTGTAGTATCTTCATGTCCCTAAAAAGAGGGAGAAATAGAATGTTTGTGAAAATCTTGTAATCTAACAATACCAATAATAAATCATTACAGACATCACTGATAATCTTCTAGTGCAGTATGTCATTTACCTCATTGCAGCCCTATACTGTAGGATGATGGACTCTCCTTGCCCACTGAAATCCATTTTCCCTTTAAAAGAATAGAACTGGATACAAGGTTGTCCAGCTAGACTTCGTGTTGCTCCAACTTCCTTTGAAGAATATAAATCTGTCAGGGTCAATATATATATATAGTACAACTCATAGATCATCTTCTTCAAAGGAAATCTCTTTAGGCTAAGCCAGTGTTCTACTTCCATTCCTGGGAGTTGAAATTCTGTGTCTCAACTTCAACAAGGTGGATAAAGGCAGTAACATGAGGGAAAGTACAATACAAGATGGGGGAAGTGATCTGTGCATGTACGAGCAGAGCAGAGCCACTCCACCCCTGGGCTGCACACTGCTTTCTTATTATATAGTAAATAAATTCATTTAATTTTTGAGTCATTGAATTTTTGTGACTCTTCATTTATTCCAAGTAACTTTATGTAGGTAGATTATTATCTACATTTTACAAGTGAGAAACTGAGATTTAGGTTGTTAATTTGTCCAAGATAATACAGTTTATTATGAAGTACCCTATTTACATTTAGGCAACTTGGTCCCAGAGTTCACACTTTTAATTATCATGCTGTCTTTGGTGGCTTCATTAAATGTAAACAATTTGGGCAATGGATGTGATGCAGTTCAAATTCTCAAGTATTTGCTCTGCTTCCATTCTGTGAACTACTTATGTGTAAACAGGATGGACATGATAAGAGTGAGTTGTGTTTATCAAATTATGTTGTCTTTCCTTTTGAGAGAGAGATTTGGATTAATAATTTGATCTAGAAATGATTTTCTCTTTGTCTAAATGTTATATAATTCATAGGCCTTTGGATGATTGTCACTCTCCCCACAAACCCTGCCATTTATTCTAGAGAAGTTTTCCATAACCAGTTGTGTCAAATTATATGTGCCCTGCAGGGAAAATTTAGGAATACTGAAGTTTAAAGCACTGATTTAATGCTAACCTTCCAACCTGGCAATTGAAGGAAATTTCTTAAAACCATTTGTGGCTGACCACTGAGCTTGATTGCCTCAGGAAAGGCATCAGAAAGATTTCTGTGTCTATTAGGACTGTAACAAATTGGTATAAGAATATAGATTTCCTAGTTTCATTAAATCTGTCCAAACTCAGTCACCAAGTTGTGTACAAATATAACAAGTAGACATCTTACAGGAAAGAAAAACTGCAAAACCTAATGCAATTGCTTTAAATATTCTATAATGACCACAATATGCCTCTATATTAGCTTTATATACATTAAATGAATTTAAGAGTATTCCATAAACAATATTTTCTCTTTCAGCACGCAGAGAAAATAGAGATATCCAAATGATGGGTTTATAAATATCTTTTGAAAAAAATTACAACATTGAAGACATTTCTTGAGGAAAAAGGCAAACCCACATTTCTGTAGAAGCAGAAATACTTTGATGCTTCTGGCTGTTCATATACAAGTATGGTTGCTCTTAATATCCAAGCTATTCGAGCCTGCCAATTCAAATCTGACTTTAGAAATAATAACCATGATAACGTTCCATAAATGATGTATCTCAGTTGTCATGGTTTATGTCTGTGTCCCCCAGGCCTCATGAGTTTGCATTGTGCATTTGTGCATTTGCATTGTCTAGTGCTTGGATTGATGGTGTTAATGCTACACCCACCTAGGGGTAGAGCCGGATGTGATGTAATGGCAGGAAGAAGGTGTGTCTTGCTCTTTGCCGGTTCCTGTTTGCTGTTTGCAGCTACCATGAGCTGTGGCCCAGTCATGCCCACCTGCCTTGGAGCCAACTGAGTGTGGACTGAAACTTACAAAAACTGTAAGAAATAAACCTTTCCTTTCCCAGCTTGGCCTTCAGGTATTTGTCTCAGCTATGAGCATAAAGTAACTAAGAATTTGGTACCGAGGAGTGGGGTTGTTTGCTGTGAATATATCTAACCATGTTTTTCAAGAGGCTTTGGAAATGGCTTGTGGGCAGAGTTCAGAAAGGTTGGGACATGTTGCCTGGATGCATAGAGCTGGAGCAGCTTAGGCTGTTCTGTAGAGGAGATTCTGGTCAGAGCTCCAGAGACCAGAAGGCTGATAGAAAGCTTCATGGCAAAGACCAGGCCTGGGAGGTTTCTGCTGGGAAGAAAGACTGCACTGGTTGTTGGACTCCACATGATGTGTGCTATGGCTTGGCAGAAAGTTTGTCTGCATTTTGCTCCTGCCCAGAGACTTTGCCTGAGACTGAGACAAAGGGCAATGGACTGATTAATCTTGAAAAAGAAATTAAAAAGCAATCGAACCTTGAGGCTGTGGCATGGCTATTGTTGGGGGCTTTCAGCCAGCTTTATGTTTCAAATCAAGAGCAAAGAGCCCAGCAGGATAATTTACAATGCTGTGAGTTTGGCCAGAAGGAAAATTCCAGGAAGGCTGTGGATTGTAAAAACAGAGTTGAGATTTTGATTGTTGATGGGAAACAGAGAGATAAGAAAGATGGCCTGGGGGGCATCCCAGGAAGCGGGTCCCCACCCTGTGCAGCCTCACAGCAAGGGTGAAAGAATTTGTTCAGAGGAGAAGGCTGCAGAGCACCATGCTCCAGAATGGCGAGGAGGCCACATGAGGTTCCAGAATGGCAGCAATGTAGAGAAGCTTTTTTCACAATCAGGCAAACAGAGAGCCCTGCAATCCAGGCAACTGACCCCTACAGCCAAGAGAGGGAAAACCCTGGCTACTGCTTCAGCTGGCAGCAGACCTTGGTGGCATCTACAAGGTGCTGATTTTAGGTGCAAGGAAAATGCACGAATTCTGAGGGTAAGAGGGCTTCCACCTCAATTGCAAAGGGCCTGGGAGGCCAAGCAGTGTGCCCCTGAGAGGGCAATTTGTGAAGATGTAAGGGTGAAGCCAAAGGTGCAGTGGAGACCCCAGAAGTTTGGAAAAGCCAGGAATGTGGGTGATCCAAGGGAAGCTCCAAAAAGCAAACAGAGAGGATTTAAGAGAGAAGCTGTGGGAGCTGATATCCCTGGAAGTGCCATGCGAGGTAGAATCACCCAAGCCTTTTGGAGCTTGCAACCAGATTGCTTCAGATGCTGAGCATGGAACTCTAGGACTTAATGTTTGTCCTGCTGGATGTTGGACTTGCTTTGTTTCAAATACTTTATATTCCCCGGTTTGTAACTTTTGAATGGTAATGTTTATCTTGTGCCTTTGCATTTGAGAAATGTTTAACCTTGTTTCATTTGTACAGGGGTTACAGTTAACAGTTTGTTATAGATCATGGAGGAGACATGGGACTTGGACTTTTTAGCAATGCTGAAACTGTTAGGACTTTGGCAGCTTTTGGAGGTGGACTAAATGTCTTTTGTGTAAAGGATTTACATGAGTCCTGGGGGCCAGGGGTGGAATGTCATGGTTTATGTCTGTGTCCCCCAGGCCTCATGAGTTTGCATTGTGTATTTGTGCATTTGCATTGTCTAGTGCTTGGATTGATGGTGTTAGTGCTACACCCACCTAGGGGTGGAGCCAGGATGTGATGTAATGGCAGGAAGAAGGTGTGTCTTGCTCTTTGCCGGTTCCTGTTTGCTGTTTGCAGCCACCATGAGCTGTGGCCTAGCCATGCCCACCTGCCTTGGAGCCAACTGAGTGTGGACTGAAACTTACAAAAACTGTAAGAAATAAAACTTTCCTTTCCCAACTTGGGCTTCAGGTATTTTGTCTCAGTGATGAGCATAAAGTAACTAAGACAACAGTTTTCAAAATACTTTTATTGGTTATGGTATGGGAAGCTTGGGAGACGCCTTGTAGAAATTGTCTTATTTTTATCTTCTCCAAGAGTCAGACTAAGGGTTACTCCTCCACATTGTAAAAATGTTCTGATCTGTGTTAGTTAGCATTATCTGTAAGCTGCTCTTTGCTTTGGATGCTAAGACTGAAATCTCTGCAAACTACATTTCTGTCTTGTAGCTAATTCCAGTTAAACTCAGTTGATAGGGAGACTGCAGAATTGGATGGGGGAAGAAAAAGGGACTTGATTCTGCCCATGCTAGTTTTATAGCCTGTTCCTATGAATGTCAACCTAGCAGTATTTCTTCACCCTTTCTATAGCAATAGCTGAATCTAGTTTGTAGTTTCTTTATAGAGCTTCCCCATTGCTCCTCTCTAGAGATGCCAGAACCAGTTGGCTGGAGCTCTCTTCTTAGAAGTTTGGTCCCTCCTCTGATACTCACCTCTAAACTCAGAGACAGTAGCATCATCTGGGGGGTGCCCCCTCCTCAGTTGAGTTTCAATTTCATAGAGTTGCTTTTCTAGGCAAGTTTTAATAATCTGAAATTCTTGCTTTATTTTCCTAGTCCCAGGAGAATAGCCACATCCTGAAATTGCCATCTCTATAATGTCTCAGAACTGTTTTATCATCCTTTTATTTGTCTGGTTGGCCAATCTTTTTACAAGTTTTCTTGGTTTAGATAACTAGTGTCATTTCTGTCTTCTAAGTGAACTCTAGCAGTACTGTGTGAGCCAACTGCCAGATTGCACTGAGGAGATTTCAGCCTTATGATGTAAAGATCAAATGCAGGGGCTAAGAAACAAGTCTTCTGATATTACAAGATTCAATCACATGCTGGCAAGGCAAAGTTTGGATGGGTATAAAGAATTTCAAAACCTTTTGAAATGTCTGTAGCATTACGTTTTTCAGAGTTGGGCCTTATATCAGTCAGTGCTTACTAAAGAAACAGATTTAATGCAAGATATACAAATATATAAGAATTTATAAGATTGGCTTCCAATGTCATCCACAGAGTCAGCTGTGGAGGAGTGCAAAAGGTCTGTCTGCGCACTGGAGATCGGAAGGGTCCAATCAGAGGCCTGGAGTCCACTGTAGTGTCCTAGGTGAGTCCCTATTAACAGACCAAAGATTTGTGCTGCAAGCCTGCAGATGACAGCCAAGTTGAAGGTGAAGACTAAAGCTTCTCCAAAGAAATAGAAGGAGCCTTCCTTCTTTTTCTTTTTATACCATTCAGATGGCAAAGACATTGATTGCTGTCACTTACACTCAGTAAAACTCAGCTACAACCAAAACTATGCTAATCCAAATTAATTGGGCTTTTTTTGTTCAAATTGACACAATCAGTTAACTCTCACAGGCATATTGGGTAAAAGGTGAAAGACCTGAAGACATCATAACCTGGAAGTTGTCTCTTCTTTAGGACATTTCCCCAGCTCAAAAATCACTGGAGATTGCAGGACAGAGGTCTACAATATTGCAAGTTTATGCTGTACCATTCTAAATTATAATTGTGATGCTTGTTCTTCATATTGCTATAGAAACATAAGGGACAATCATTTTCAATAGTTGGAGAATTTTAGCACCATCAATTGTTCTCGAGTAGTCTGGTCCTGGTGTGTGAGAACAGATCACAAGATGCTGTGAGACCAAAGAAAATAGGCAGACAGATCTAGGATTGCACGAATGCAGTTTATTTGGAACTGACTGATAGAAGCATGGTCCTGGGAGACTGCAATATCAGTTGGAGCTTCACAATTTGGGTCAGAAGATGGGGGCTTATAAAGTGTTCAGGGCAAAAGTGATTTCTTCCAAGCCAGAATGGGTTTATTTTAAAGTAAAAGCAAGCATTCAGGTCATTTCTGGTACTTGAGTCTGATTTAAAATCTCCACTTATCATTTTATCTTTTTATCTGTTTACAGTATGCTGGGAAACTATGCTGGGAAAACTTGCTAGGATTACTCAGGAACAAATGTGGTGGTCACAAGTCAAGATGGCAAGATGGCGATAGTCATGTTAAGCTGTATCCATACACCAAGAAACAACCTTAATTAAGAGCAAAGAAACTTTCTGAACCCCTGGAAAGTGTCTAGTGGGTGTTAGCTTCCCATAATTTTTCAAGACTAGCTACAGTTTTAGAAGATTATTAAAGTTTGTGAATTTTTAAATAGATTCTTAATTTTATCTTATCTAATTAACATTTATATTTTTAATAAAACTTTAACAAATATATAAATATATTATTAAGCATTATCAGTACAGAATCATTTGGGTCAGATGTGTGCAATCCATACTGTGCAGCTATAATATAGCCCTAGATAACTTGTAAAGCAATTGCACAAGACTGTACAATTTTGACATTATTTTTAAATTTAATTTTATTTAAAAATTTATTTTAATCTCTTTCTTTAAATATTTTAAAGAGGGTAGAACTAAACATAACAAAACAGAACAAAGCAGGTCAGAAGAGAACAATGTAAGAGACACAGATTTTAAAGCAAGACAACAGGCAGATCATCACTGTCTACCATATTGTCTCTTGTTTTCTTCTAAATAGTTGTCCATACCTTCACACACAATGAATTCATACAGAACAAAAGAGTATTAAACTGATCAGAACAGAATGATGAAGACATTACAGGCTTTCAAAACCAGACAACAGGGAAGTCAACATTGGCTGCCATAATGTCTCTCGTTCTCTTCAAAATAGCTATCCATACACCTTTATATATCTTGAAATGAAACAATACGAAACACTAAAATCACTCTGAACAAAGAATAATAGTATTTATGAATTTCACAGCACAATGCTACAGAATCATCACTGGGCACCATAGTGTCTCTTTTTGTTCAACATAGCTATTCATTTCACCATACATTATATAATCGATTCTGATAAACTGTTTAGGGGAAGTTCTGTGCATGTATGAGACTCTACATGTATACCTATGCTTTCTGTATTAGAGGGAAAAACACAACAATATAAAACAAATTCCTAGAAAATTGCAAAACAAAAAAGACAAATGAATAACAACAGCAAAGAGCCCAGAACACTGACAATATAGGCCTTCAACAAAAGGTGGAAGGAGCATAACTGGCATTGTTAGTTTACATAAAGATCTGCAGGAGTTCCTCAGATCACCATATAATAATATGCACAATTGTTACAATTCTATGAATGTTAACTATTTTGTTCCAAGAACTTGTAAGCACAATCGTCTTAGCTATCTTAATTGTGTTTATATGATTTTAGATATTTTTTCTTTCCCTTCCTTTTTATTTTTCTTCATTTTTCCCTAGATATTATTTTTCCCCTTTAAGCAGATTCTTATCCTTTCACTGTATTTATTGAGCTTTTTGCATCTTGTATATTCTTACCATTTCATACACTAGGGAGGCTATATGGTATTTACACATGTGAGTTTGATTTATTTCACTTATGATTGTGGTCTCAAGTTGCATCCACTTATAAATATCTCAATGTGATCATTCTTTATAGCTGCATAGCACTCCATTGTATAAAAATACCACATCTTTTTTTACCCATTCCTAGATTGACAGGCATTTAGGTTGTTTCCAAGATCTAGCTATTATAATTTGTGCTTCTGTAAACATGGGTGCACATATATCACTGTGGTATCATGTTTTCAGTTCTGGGAGTATGCCCAGAAGTGGAATACCTAGGTCAAATGGGAGTTCCAACTCTACCTTTGTAAGGAACCTCCAGACTGACCTTCACAGTGGGTTGCACCAGTCTACACTCCCACCAACAGTGCAGGAGAGTTCCTTTTCCCCCACAGCCTCTCCAGCATTTGTTGTTGGTAGTTTTCTTGATCCTGGACATTCTTTCTGGAGTAAGATGGAATCCCAGTGTTGTTTTAATTTGCATTTCTCTAATGACCAATGATGCTGAACATTTTTTCATGTATTCATTTGTCATTTGTATTTCTTCTTCTGAGAACTGTGTATTCATCTCAGATGCCCATTTTTGGATTGGATCTTTGAATTTTGGGTATCTGATTTTTGAAAATTCTAGACAGAAGTCCTTTGTCTGAGGGACAGTTCACAAAGATTTTTTTCCCCAATTTGTGAGTTTTCTTTTCACTATTCTGGAGATTTCTTTCAACATGCAAAAACTCTTTCATAGGATGTAATCCCAGTTATTGATTCTGTGAAGTATTTCACGTGGTTTGATTCTTGTTCATGAATTCTGTACCTACCCCTATGTCTTCAAGATTTCTATCTAATTTGTCTTCCAATAGAGTTAGTGTTTCTGTTTTAATATTCAGATCTTTGATCCATTTAGATTTTAGTTTAGTACATAGATCTAGTTTAGTTTAGTACATAGGCATGGGTCTAGTTTTAGTTTGTGGCATATGGAGAGCCAATTTTTCCAGCACCATTTATTAAAGAGACTATCCTTCTTCCAGTGGATATCTTTGGCCCGTCTATCGAAGATAAAGTGGCTGAGTGTGTTTGTACTTGTAGTTGTTGAGTTTTTAATGTATTCCATTGATCTTCAGGTCTGTTTTTATTCCACACCCATGTTGATTTTATTCCAGTAGCTTTGTAGTATAACTTCAAGTCAGGGATTGTGCTGCCTCCTGCCTTGCCTTTGCTGCTTAGAATTGCCTTTGCTATTCTAGGTCTCTTCTGGTTCCAGATGAATTTTAGGAGTGATTTCTCTAAATATGTGAGATATGCTAGTTGTATATTGATTGGGATCGCATTGAGTCTGTATAGCAATTTTGGGAGAATGGTCATTTTCACAATATTTGTTCTTCCTGTCCATGAACAAGGATGTCTTTCCATTTTCTGAAGCCCTCTTCAATTTCTTTTTCAGGGTATTATAATTTTCTTTTATAATAAAATTCTTTTATTATTAAAAAGAAATTTTACTTCTTTTGTTAAATTGATTCCTAAGTATTTCATTTTTTTGGATGCTAGTGTGAAGGGTGTGGCTTCTCTTATTTTTTTTTCTCTCAGGGATTTTGTTGTTAGTATTTAGGAATGCTATTGATTTTTGAGTGTTGACTTTGTATCCAGCTACATTACTGAATCTATTTATTATACCTAGCAGTCTTTCAATGGAGTTTTTGGGGTCTTTTATGTAGAGTATCATGTTATCTGCAAATAAGGATAATTTAATTTCTTCTTTTCCTCTCTTTACCCCTTTTATTTCTCCCTCTTGTCTAATTGCTCTGGCTAGTATTTCCAGCACTATATTGAATAGGAGTGGTGATAATGGACATCCCTGTCTTGTTCCTGATTTTAAGGTAAAGGCTTTCAGTTTTTGGCCATTTAATATGATACTGGCTATTGGTTTGTCATAGATGGCTTTTATCATTTTGAGGTAAAGTCTGTCTGTCTATTCCAATTTTCTGTGAGGTTCTTATCATGAATGAGTGTTGGACTTTATCAAAAGCTTTTTCTGCATCTACAGAAATGATTATGTGATTCTTATTTTTGGCTCTATTGATATGGTGGATTACATTTGTTTATTCACATATTTTGAATCATCCCTGCATGTCTGGGATGAATCCCACTTGGTTGTGGTATATAATTTTCTTGATGATTTGCTGCATTCTCTTTGCATTTTATTGGGAATTTTTGCAACTATGTGCATTAGGGAGATTGGCCTGTAGTTCTCTTTTTTGGTTAGGTCTTTCTCAGGTTTTGGTATTGGAGTAGTATTTCCTTCCAGGAGTGAGTTAGGGAGAATTGCTTCCCTTTCAATTTCATTGAAGACTTTGAGGAATGTTGGTATTAAATCTTCTTTGAATTTCTTGTAGAATTCCACAGTGAATCCTTCTGGACGTGGGCTTTTCTTTGTTGGTAAGGATTTAATTACATTTTCAATTTTGTTAATTGAAATTGAATTATTCAGCAGTTTTACATCTTCTTGACCTAGCTTTGGTAATTCATATTTCTAGGAATCTGTCTATTTCCTCTGTGTTATCAAGCCCACGTGAGTAGAGGTTTTTGAAATAGATATTGTTGATCTTCTGTGTTTCCACAGGACCTGTAGTGATTTCAACCTTTCATTCCATATTGCATGAATTTGAGTTTTTTCTTTCCTTTTTAAAAATAAGGTTGGCCAGGGGCTTATCAATTTTATAATTCATTGATTCTTTGTATTGTTTTCTTAGTCTGTATTGCATTGATTTCTGCCCTGACCTTTATAGTTTCCTCCTTTATTTTGGCTTTGGGCTTGACTTGCTTTTTTTTTTCTAGATGTTTGAGGTATAGAATCAGGTGATTTATTTGTGTTCATTCTGTTTTCCTGATGTGGGAATTCAGTGCAATGAATTTTCCTCTGAGGACTGCTTTCATTGTGTCCCACTATTTCTGGTAAGATTTTTGTTTGCTTTTAGATATTGTTTATTTTCTTCTTTATTTCCTCTGTGACCCACTGTTCACTCAGAGTGTATTATTTAATTTCCATGTGTTTGTGGGGGTTTTTGCGGTTTCTTTTGTCATTAATTTTAGTTTAATGGTGCTGTGATCCGATAACATGCATGGGATGATTTCAATTCTTTTGCATTTATTTAAGCATGTTCTGTGGGCTAGTATATGGTCTATTTTTAGAGAACATTCCATGAGCTGCTGAGAAGAATGTATATTCTGATGTTGTTGGGTGGAAGACTCTGTATATATCTACCAAGTCCATTTGTTCACAGGTGTGATTCAATTTTGTTATTTCTTTGCTGATTTTCTGTCTAGTTGATCTGTCATTTTATGTTAAGCATGTGAAGGTCTCCTGTTATAATTGTGTTATTGCTTATTTGACTTTTTATTTCTGTTAATATTTGTTTTGTATAGATGGGTGCTCCCAAATTTGGTGCATATACATTTAAGATTGTTATCTCTTCCTCTTGAAGTTTCCCCTAACCAGTATGTAGGTACCTTCTTTAACACTTTGGATCATTCTTTAAGTTCCTATTGTCTGCAAATAGAACAGCTACCCCTGCTTTTTTTAGGGATACTTTTGCATGGAGTTTGTTTTCCATCCTTTGACTTTCAGTCCATGAATTTCCTTTGGGTTATATGGGTTTCTTGTATACAGCATATGGTTTAATGTTGCTTCTTGATCCATTCTTCCAGGTTGTTTCTTTTAATTGGTAAATTGAAGCCATTTACATTAATGGTTATAACTAATATATATTGGTTTACTTTTGACATGTTATCTTTCTGCTGTTGATTCTCTACCTTTCCACTTTGTTTAATTGTCTGCCTTGCTTAGTGGTTTCTTCTTATGTCTATCTAGAATGCCATTCAGTTTTCTTTGCAGGGTTGGTTGGTGGTCATGAGGTTCTTCACCTGTTCTTTGTCATGGAAGTATCTTATTTCTCCATCCATTTTGAAAGACAGGTTTTCAGGATACATCAGTCTGGGTTGGAAGTCATTTTCCTTTAGGATCTGAAATACTTCACTCCATGTTCTTCTTGACTTCATTGTTTGTGTTGAGAAGTCTTCTGTAATTCGGATAGGCTTTCCTTTATAGGTGATCTGTCTCTTCTCTCTAGCACTTTTTACTATTCTGTTCTTACGTTGGATTTCTGGGATGTTGATTATTATATGTTTGGGTGTAGTTTTATTTTGGTTATGGTTATTTGCCGTTCTATATGCTTCACTGTTGTGTATGTCGGTTTCCTTTCTCATATTTGGGAAATTTTCAGCTATTATTTCTGTAAATAGCCTCTTGATACCATTTGTGTTGTCACCTTCTTTTTCATTTATTCCTATTGTTTTTAAAAGGTCTTTCTTTTTCTGTTCACTAGCTGCAATCTTTTTTTTTTTTTTTTGAGGTCTGAAATTCTGTCTTCACTTTTGTTGAGGTGGTTTTGCCAACTTTTGATGGAATTTTTGATTTCCTGTATATCTCTTTGAATCTGCTTCATGCGTTCTGTTTTTTTCTTATATTGTTCATTCAGGGTTTCCATCTTTTTGCATTGCTCCTCTAATTTTTAACTATGCCTTCTTTAGATGTGTCCAGGATTTCTTTAATTACATTTATCATTTTGTCTTTTACTTGGGAGATTATTTCTGATCTGAGTTCTTTTATAGCTTCCCAGAGTTGTTTCTTTCCTCCAGTTATCATTTCAGGAATTTCACGTATATGGCTTATATTTTCTTCTGTGTGCATGTCTCCTAGGTTTGGTTGGGTTGGGTTGAGCTGGAAGTTTGAGATTGCATTTTTCTCTTTCGTTTTGTTATCTTCCTATATATCAAGGTTTTGAGTGATGTCCCAAAACTTCCCCCTTGAGCTGGGAATCACCTGGCACACATTTTGCTCCTGGGGCAGACTGCAGGCACCAGCTAACCACTTGGAGGTCACTGGATGTGGCCTAGTTAGGCCTGTGGGACCTCCCATGTTTCCTCAAAAATATGGAATGCTTAATGAATTTGTGTGTCATCCTTGCGCAGGAGCCATACTAATCTCTGTATCATTCCAGTTTTAGTATATGTGCTGTCGAAGTGAACACTATTTTAATCTCTTTAAAAGTTTTTTTTTGAGACAGTCTCACTATGTAGTTTAGGCTATCCTTGAGCTCACTATGTAGCCCAGGCTAGCCTCAAACTCATAGTAATCCCCTGCCTCAGCCTACCATTTGCTAGGATTGCAGGCATGCATCATGATGCCTAGAATAAGTTTTGATGTTATTATGTAGTTTTTAGCAATATTTATTGTGACTCAGTTGTGTGGTGCATCAGTGGAAACTGTAGACAACAATAGTAAGTGAGAGTTACACAGTGACAAGTCTGCCCCTCTACCACCACACACAGCCAATGAGATAGAAATGTGCATGTTTCAGATACTTCAAACAATTGTATGTCTTGGTCACTGTATAAAACTCAGCAATTACTGATAACATTGCTTCAACTATTTATGTGTGTGTGTCTGCAGAGGCAGGCATTTATTATTATTAAGCGGACATGTAAATTTTAAATTTAATTGTAAAACTTGGGCTTGTTTTATTTTAAAAAATGATATAATAGTTAAAATATGAAGAAAAAGGAAGGTTCATTCCTTACATATGCTAGGTATATTATATATTTGTGTTTCTCATTTGAGGCCCAGGCAAGCCAAAAGGTTCAACACCTTGATTTAAAGAAGAGTCCTTCTCCATAAAACTAATCAGACACTGATCTCATCTTATGTGTCTTACTATGAATTCACTAACTACTTGAATTCTCTAGCAATGTGAGAAAAATATAGCTAGCCCCACTTTTACATGCATGAATTACCCTCAAAGACTTGTTTAAGACAACTCAATCCAACAAGCATCCTTTTCTGATAGTATTCCAGTCTGTGACCATTGTCCTAGGGATATTATTTATAATACTCCCATTTGCTTTAAAACATCCTGATTTGGAAAAGAAGTTATGGTTATTTTACAAAATTAGTAAGTAGAAGAGCTGGAAATTGAACTCAGCCGTAGCATGTATGGTTTTTACTAGTCCACACTGCCTCGGAGGGTCAGCATTGTCAGTGTAGAATTTTATAGCATGAAAAACACCTATGACTGCAGTGGGGATGAGTATTTCTGATATCACCTTGAAGTTTTTACAAAGCTTCATGGGAATCAAAGTCAGCCCAGGATATTTTCCCACTGTGAAAATAACCTTAGAAGATAGAATAATTAACACAGAGCAGAAACTGGTTTAAGAAGAAAAGGAGACATTTGTTCATGCAATCAGGAGTCTACAGATTAGGTTAATTTCAAGAACTGGTTGATCTAATTCAATGATTCACTAAGCATATCAATAGACATAGCTCAAAATGGATACTAGTGAAAGATTTTATTCAAAGAAAGAAGAAAGGAAAGGAAGGAGAGAGAGAAAGAGAGAGAGAGGGAGAGGATCTAGTTATACACATTGAGATGATCTAAGATACTTTTATTTCTGGGAGTTATTTTTCCTCCCCTTTCACTGTACTATCTAGTTTCTCTTTAGATCACAAATGCCTATGTTGTCTGGTGGCTTCCAGCAGCCTTCAACATGACACATTTCTAATTTCATATTTAAATAGACAACAAGAAAGTGCCTGTTTTTCCTACTAGTGAAGAAATGTCCTTTGCTTTGTTTAGACAAAACCGAGCCAATCATGGTGAACAAGAGCTGTGTACTAATTGATCTGTAGTTGGATTGTAGACTATCCATAAACTAACCATCATGTCGAGATTGATGTCAGAGTGGGTAGGATAATTCTGATTGACATCCTAATCAGAATTCACTTGCTTCTGGATCTGGGGTTGAGATTCATGGCCCCAAAAGGCTGTGAACTATATGGGGGAAGAGTTAGAGATTTTTTTTGGAAAGGGGGAAATAGATACTAAGTTACTAAGTGCATGTTTTTGATGAGTTTATAAAGATTTATATTTTCCCGCTTGATACAATCCAAAGGTTAGATTTAGTAGTGCCAAAGTGGATTTTCTGGGTGATATGGGATCTTCGTCATGTCTGGATGAATCTCCCTGGAGTTTAGAGATGTTTTATAATGTTATCCACTTATACCACAACTCTGATAAAATAATAAAAAAAGAACAGACTGACTTCAAACATTTTTACATTTGGAAAAGAGTAGAATGAGAAACAGCACACAGTGGCCACTAGTCCACAGCAATGTCATTCCTGCTTGATAGACATGGTAAGAATCACCATTCAGTAGTGAGTTCTTTGGATGGTCATGCTGGCTGCCAACCATGAGTATTTATATTTTAGGATTAGTAAGCATATAAAGAAGGAATGAGTGTATGAAAAGTGTTCAGAACATTGTTTAACATATATCAAGTGCTCAAGGAACATTATTTTGATAATTTGAGATAGGTATTTGGAAAGAAGATAATTATAAGATTTCTTTGGCAAGAGAGCTTTCTTCAATATTTAATAGTTTTCCAACTTAATTTCCTCCGATTAGTTCTATAGTCTCATACCTGGCCATATTCAGAGATGGATCCATACTCTTTGGTTCTAGGAAGTAGTTTTTTGAGCCTGTGTATCAATTTATGTGGAACTGCTCACAATTTTCTACCCTATTTGAGCAGGAATACAAATACCCTATATCATCTCATTAATGTATATAATTAGACACACACACTCTCTCTCTTTCTCTCTTTTTTCTTTCTTCCTCTCTTTCCTTTCTTTCTTTTCTACAGTACGCATTTTGAGCTATGTCCAAGATGAAATAGCATTACCAACCATCAGGCAAAATTGGAGGGATAAATTTCCAGCCACAGGGCTCAACCATCCGGCCCCATTAAGGCTGGCTGTATGGATGTGATTCTGATATAGTATTTAGTTTTTCTTACCCAGGTTGGTAGGAGCAGTTCATAGAAAGGATAGTTCTGCATAACATGTCAACCAACCACAAAATGGACACTTCCACTCTTTACACATTATACCAGGCATCATCTCCTTTCATTGCCACTAATCTAATACCTGCTGACGTTTGAGTTACTCTGTAAGACTTTGCTAACTGTTTATTGGGAGAAAATAGGAAGGTAAGCCCAGGCATTTATTGAAATGCTTTATTGTGTACCCATTTTCACACATAACCCAGATGAACCATGAATTCTACTTCCCCCATTTTTTATAAAAAACTACATACACTACACTGTACATGTAAAACAAATTTGGAAAGGAGCCTCAAGCTGGCCTCTGAAATTGTGTAAGCAATTATCACATTTTTGTGCGCAAATGCAGTAATTATATGTGTAATTTGGCAGCTGGGTTTGAAAATTTGGCCTTAAATGGAACATAGACAGGAAAAATAAATGTTAGAAAATGCCAATATTTTATAAAGATTTTGAATCAAATAATGGTGAAATTATTGCAAACCATCTTAATTTTTAATTATAATGATCATTACACAATATACAATAATTTTTTTTGAGAAAGAAAAGAACTATAGATCAATTGCCCATCATTTTTGTCAGAAAAAAATGACTCATTTCTTGGGATGATAATTGTATTTTTTTCAGAGGTTATGGTACATTTTTCAAAGCCTTTTTTTTCTTATAAAGAAAAGATAGTGATTGCCTACTAGTTCAAGTTCTATGACAGTTTACTAGGAGAGAATAGAACCCTTTGTACTGATTACTTTAGAGGGAAAGTAGTATTAACTGTGCTTATATCTGAGCTAGTAATCTTAAATTAGATAAAGCTTTCTTATAAGCATTTAAGCTTTGGAATATAAGATTATAGCCCAAATGAAGAGTAATTTAGATTTCTTTGATCTAGATTTAAATTGAATGGATGCAGTAAAGGCCTAGCTTTTACATTCCATTAAGATTGATTTTAATGTATGTGATTTTTCATGTGCCTATGAGAACAAGTAACTTGGATTTAATATAAGGCTGGCCCAGCAGTAATGTTATCTTCTGATTTTAGCAGGGTAATATAGAGATTAATTATACAAGCTATGTAGCCAACCAACCTGGATTCCAATCCTTGTCTTACCACTCTCATACTCTTTTCTGTATCTCAGTTTCCTTATCTGGTAAAATAAGAATAGTATAGTAACCACTGAATGGAGCTGTGGTTGGATTGAGTAAAATACTCATTTACCGCCCCTTGAACAGTGCCTGGCACTGGTAAGCCCTCAAACATTATAGCATTCAAAAAATCATTTGCTTCTTAGTGTTGAATTTTCTGACATGACTAAATAAGCAGCAGAATTTATCTAACTCAAAAATGAAAAGTGCAGGAAAGAGAAAATGAATGAGTGACCCAAATATATGTAAAGTCCTAAATAATGAAGTAATGTCCTCAGTAGAGTGATAAAAGAAGCAGACAGTGTGGACAGAGCTGAGTTGTGGGACTTTATTTCAATATCATAGCTGACTACTAGATCTTCTGTGCTAAACTAGGGGGTAAAGAGAGATCACCATAGTGTCTTTCTCAACACTATGCACACCGTGGAAGGAATGTGATGAGTACCTTATGACTATAATGCATGATACAATATAGTATATGTTAAGTGCCAGGTAGAAATGAACACACAAGATACTCTGGGGATTAAAAAAAAAGAATTTGTAGGTAAGATTTCTCTATTTTAATATCATACAAAGCTTTTTAGAAAAAGTATAAACTAGTAAGGCAGGCATTAAGGGTTGAGAGATTTTATTTAAGGGACATATCAGCATTGGGGGAGGAATTCCAGGTGAAGAAAAGAGCATTAATAAGAGAAAGATAAGGAGGTAAGACTAAGGTATCAGCTGTTGGATAATCATGGAAACAGGTTGAGACAGGAGGCGTGGTTGTACTTGGGGAGTCTTTGAATGCTATGGTGAGAGGGCTGGTATTAATTTAGTAAGCAGCATGTAGCTTTTAAAGAAGTGTCTAGAGCACATCTAAATTTCAAAAATATTTTTCAAAGCTTATCAGAGAATCACTGAAGATCTTGTGAAAACTTATGTCCCTGTCTCCCTCACTGAGATATATTCTGATTCAGTAGGGCTAGGGGAAGAGTCCTAGAATGTACATTTCCAGCAATCTCATATGTCACCTGGATGCTGTAGGTTCACAGAATATTCTGTGATTAGCGCTGGTTAGGGCACATAGCCTTCCCAAAGATTTCATCTGCATTTTCCCATTAGTAGAAATAATTTGCTCGTACAGCCTCACAATGTACACATACTTATTTATTTGCAAATTATAGACAAACTACCATTTTAATGTTAATGACTAAATATAAAGCTAAGTATATATGAAACTAAATATAACCCCAAAATTTGAACTAATAGTGAAATAATCATTTTATCCTAAGTATTAATGGCACAAAAGTTTTTTTTAATTTCATTCAAATTCTTATTGTATTTGAGTATGTTTCATTATTTCTGAAAATCTTGGTTTAATAATTTGTCATGCAGCCATCTAAATATATGTCCTTAATCTAGTTTTTTCAATATTTTGTTGTATTGGCTTTTCCAACTGAAAAATTGTATTTCATAAAGATACATAAATCCAGATGGAAGAATTTCCCTACTGGCTGTTTTAACTAAATCCTCATTGCCAATTATAGAAAGCCTTTTGTTAAAATTTGTCTAATAGTTGTCAATCAGTATTTTGCAAGCCAGTAAGCAATGATACTACTTTTTTTTATTGGCATCAAAATGGATTCAAATTTCACTGAAATTCTTTGTTTGGAAGAGGAATAAACCTGTTTTTTTTTTTTTTAAATCCTGTTTGTAAGTTTTTAGAATGTGCTAGTTTGAGTTTTAGTTTTCATTTAAATCAATAATAAATGATCTTACCTTGTTTTGAAGTCCAAATCACAGAACAGTGGAAATCATTTTACATATCTTTCCAAAGCTCTCTGTTGGTAGCCTGTGAACGGATTGGGTTGGTTTATATTATTGTTATTCTGAAAAAAATACTTGATAGGTAGCATGGTATGGCCAGCCCAGTTTTCATCACAGAAAAGGTTAACATATTTGGAACACTTGTCTTTTTGTAAATGTACATTGGTAGCTCCTTTAAGTATTTAGGCATTGGTGAGATGAATGTCTGGATCAGATCCATGTGGTAGAAAATATGGCTATAGTTACTTCTATCTCAGTTTAGAGTTAATAATATTTTAAAGTTTGCTTTGAACAATAAAATGATGGTATTGGCAGTATTTTGTGCACTTTCGGCTCCAACCCCTTCTCTGCAAATTTGCCTGTATAAATAGCAGGATGAGTGAATGTCACTTGGGATCTCAAGAACCTTAGCCAATATTCTTTTAAAACTTTGGTCAAAGGAGATATTTTGTTATTTGTATACTTTTACCATTAAAGAATTAGTTACTGTTGATAATATACCTAATCTGTATAATTTTACCTTTGGTAATTTAAAAAAAAAATCTTTAATTTTGAAGAAACACTATCCACGGAAAACTATTTGCTGAGTTTTGGCTAAAAAGGAATATCAAGCATGGTGTGGTGAGGCCTGCTTCTAATTCCAGCACTCTGGAGGCTGAGGCAAGAGGATTGCTGAATTTCAGGCCAGCCTGAACTACACAGTGAGACCTTGTCTCAAAAAACCAAACCAAACAAACACCCACCTCCAAATCCCCAAAACAACAATGACAACAGCAAAAACAACCAGTACTCTCATTCTCACTCAAATTATATTCCAACTTTTTAATGGTGTATAATTTGCTGCAATTCCTGATTTTTTTCAAAATTTCAGGAGTGCTTTTGATATAAGGGAATGAAACTCCCGACCTACTATGTCTAGTACTAGTTAATGTTCTCTAAAATAGAAGAATGAATTTTAGGAACAATGGAGGTTAAGAGCAGAATGTATTTATTGAGAGAAAGAAAGCTTTTGTCTGAGAGAGACAATGCGTCCTGAGTGGGTTGCCAAGGACTCTGTCTTTTTAGGGACTTTTATAGCGTAAAATCAGGGGGTGAGATGGGTTCAAGGTGGGGAAAACTGGGAACTCACAAGGCAGAAGGGCATAAGGTGGGAGAAAACTATGGTCGATCAATAAGATTAATAGTTCAGGAAAAATTGATTAAATCGAGGACAAACGGGGAAGCGAGTCACATAGAAAGTGGGCATTCTTAGAGAGTAGTGACTCTTCCCCAGTGTGTTGGGATGGTGACTCCTGACTTCCTCAGGGTTATAGAGAACTAGTTAGAATATCAGTCCTTGGCATATTGGGTACATTTATTTGATCTTTTGTCTTTTTTTTATTTAAAGACAAAAGGAAAAACAGAAAAAGTGTAGAAATAATACAGAATGCCAAAAAAAGTAACACTAAGAAATCACTAGTTAACAAATTACATATTGTCCTCTTAGAAATAGTTGTTCAAGTTACAAAATGAAAGCATAAAAAATGGATAGACTCTCAAACATTGACAGTGCAAACCATTCTGTTCAAAGCATATGTTTGATCTTTTGTCTTGAGGCCTGGCCCACAGTAAAAGGTGTGTCTCTCTTCCATAGTTGCAAGCTGTCTGGGCTTCTGCACTGGCTCCTTTGAGGACCTGGCCCTGTCTCGCTGCTTATAGTATTTTACTTTCAATGCAGCTAATGAAAATGAGTTCACATTCTACTCAATTTTATTGGAAGAATTTTAGACTAACTTTAAAAATCTTGTGTTTGCTGACAAAAGTGTTCCATTTTGGCTTATAACGTATTGTTTTGCATGTACTACTTTGACATTCACAAAGAACTAGAATTTCTGTAGTAGTACATTACTATTTACTTTTGCTTTTAAACAGAAATTTTACAACTGGGTGATAGTTTGCCTGGGTTAGTTAAAACCCAGTCACATAGTTTGTACCATCACTTTTACCTGGTTATCCCAAACTTCAGTTTACTGAATATGCAAGAGAAGTGAAAAGGTCTTGGTCATCTCTGTGCTCCGAGAATTTACGTACCTTATTTACTCTTAACATTTGTAAATACAGAGCAAGTGAAGATAGCAGCATACATCCATGTACTAAGTTTAATGAACTTTGTACCATTTCATTATATATTTCTTTCTTTTTTTTCCCCCTGTACTCTCAAGAGGTCATCTTGCACGTTCCTTGGACATTTGTGCCCTGGCTTTGAAATTCACTCCTCTGAGAAATAGCTCTGGTGGTAGAAGTTTAGGCAGATCAGAAAAGAGAAAGATTGGAGGCTGGAATCAAATGAAAATCAAATACAGTTTTTCAGGGATATCCATGAAATAAAAGACCTGTCTGATCTAAAGTAGCTTTAAATTATATAAAGAGACAGAATATATTCTCTGAAGCAATTTCAGAATGTTTACAAAGTCATGAATTTGTGTTTTTTATAATTTATGTTTTTTATAATTTATCATGTATGTTCTCAATGTATACATTTAAAACACAAATATAGCATGTATAATGAAGAAGGAAGAATAGACTGTACAATATTACTATTTCTATGTTTCACTGGAATTTACAATGAAACCTAAGGAGAGGTTGCCAAATGTAGACTGTAAAGCCTTGGAGTAACCACTAAAAAGTTCGAAAAGTAGATACTAAAAAAACATTGAAGGAATTAAAATATTACAAAGTACACAGGGGCTGCCATTGTCGGGTTATGCACATGCTCTTCCCTGGCTCTGTGGCCTTGAAGACAGAGAAATTCTAAGCCCAGCTAGAACAGGAGTATATGTATCCACACCTTTAGAATCCTACAGGCAAGCTTTAAAGGATGGCTATTGCCAAAGTAACTCCTGTGGATAATCTAGGAAAAAACCAAAAGTTTTAGGACAATTTTGAATTTGTTCAGCGGTTCAAGAAAAAAAACAAAGAACCCTTGGCTCTAGCAGTACAATTCCTGAATCCACTTCAACCCAGAGGATGCTGCAGCTCCCAACGCCAGCCCAGAGGTGGTGCAGAGAATCCAGTTGTGGACATTGGGGACCCCAAAAGACTAAGCTGACGTGGCAAGTTGACTCATAGAAACTTACTGTTTATTTGGAAAGAGAGATCTCTACTTCATAAAGCTAAGGAACAGTGAATTGATTTGCCAGGAGAATGACAGGGAAAAAATCCTATATTGCAGAGGATTAGAGACTCTTTCCATGCACAGACCAAGGCTTTGTGACACTGGAGGAAGGGCCTTCCGCAATAGCAAGAGCACTAACGAAGGGACTGGACCAGTAGAACAGCATCCAATTTGGAAAGGACAGTAAATTAGAGTACAAGGAAGAGATCCATCCCCGTAAGGGCCACCAGATGTCGGTGTCACTCCCGGCCGGCAGGAAGGACACACAACAAAGTCTGGCAGTGGACAACCTTTTCTTTTATTTTCCTTCTCCGTACAGCCTGCCCCGGGAATCCTCCCGGCCGAAGCCTCTGTTGGTCCGCTCCCCGCGGCTCTTTGCGTGCTTCTCCCTACAGTCTGTCCCGAAGCCTCTACCGGTCCGCTCTCCGCGGCTCCTTGCGTGCTTCTTCTGCTTCTTTTCTACAGTCTATTTTTTTTTTTTTTTTTTTTTTTTTTTGGCAGTGGTCAGGCTTTTCTTTTTATGGTCACTTTGGTAACCACTGGAGTCACTACCTTGGAGAACAGGGTCCTGATCCTGATACTCCTGCTGTTTTTTCTTCTTCTTCTTTTTCTTCTTTGGCTCTTCTTCACAGAGATCATTCACAGGATTACTAATCTGCAGGTCTGCCTCTTCCTTTGGAGTCACATCTACTAAATCTGTGAGCTCTGTGATGCTAACATCCACTTCACCTGTTTCTGGGGCTTTCTTTTTTTTCTTTTTCTTCTTCAAAATTTTTTCAACAGCTTCCTCTGTGACAGTTTCTGCTACTTCTTCTGACATTTCAATGCACTTAGATTGTAAACTAGCGATATTTAGTTTTCCTCGAATGCAAAACACTCCAGCAGCATCTGAGTCTAAACGAAATACTTCAAATTCCAGTTCATCACCCACGTTTATCTCCACAGTATGCCACTGCTCAGTAGACATCTGCTCAGGCTTTGGGATGGAGGCATTAAAACATCCATGTACGAGACAGCCAATATCTCTTCCTTGATGCAGGAAGTTTCCAAACTGACTCGTTTTTATTGATGAAGTCAGCCTTACCCACACCAATAATCCTGAAGAAAATATAGTAAGGTCCAAGCATTTTAATGTGAATGAGTTTTACGGAATTTTCACATCTTTCAGGGTTGTTGTAAGGAATAAATGCCCACCACTATGCCCAGTATATCCAATGTGCACAGCAATAATTAATTCATATTAAGGAGAGGACTAACAGGAGGAGTTTGGATGAGGAGAAGGAACATTTCTGTGTGTATCTATAATGAGGTGTATGGTAGAGTGAGGGCTAAAGACACGTTGAATCTATTTTTAGGATACTTCACAGGTCTGTGAGAAAAAATAAAAGCATAAAGTTTAGTCTTTATATATGGGTCCTGTCTAGGGAGATTGAAAAAAAAAATGACTGTAGGAAATAGTCATGTCAATAGAGAGCCTAATTGGGGGAAAGTGATTTTTGAAGAGTTGAAGTTTGGAGTTTTAAGTTTAAATTGAAAAACAATCAATGCAGCTTGTGTTTCTCTGGATCAGCCAGTTGCTTACGGAGCAGGGCAGGGGGGTGTTGACTTGTTTGTTTTCAGGCCACACATCGGAAGGGACTTGGAGGTTGGCTGTCTCCTGGCAGTGGTGGCCCACACGTGGTGCTGGTTTGCAGGGAGTGCTTGCTTCTTGTTGACTTCTTGTTCTCTTCCTTCATTTTGTGTTAGTTTCTTTCCACCTTTTATTTCTCATTGATTGATGTTCACCTAGGGTGTTCCAATTCTTGTTTGTGCCCGGTCTCTCTGGGATGCTACTGGCCCAGGGTCTTTACAAGTCCACTTGGATTGGGCCTGAATTTCAGATCTTCAGATGGCTTGCCTTTTCCCTTCTGGTCAATTCAGATCAGCCAGCCTGGGTAAGAGAGGAGCAGTTGGCTGTGACAACCAGGGTTTGAGTACAAAATTGCAGGGCTTTAATTGCACTTGTTAGGGGCTGCTTCATCTGAGAAGAAGGACAGTGTTTAATGCCTGAGGACAAATGGGACAGGATGAATCTAAGGTGTCACATAAATTAGATCCAGTACCTGTACTCCTCTCTGTATGGTGACCAAAGCTCTCTGATAAGGCATTATTGGATCAGGGTTCTGAAGCAAGTGAGAGAGCCAATCATATAGATATCTTACAGAAATTTATTCCAGGCAAAGTGTGCATTAAGTGCGAAGAGCTTGAGGTAAGGGCAAGAGGTGGGGGCATAGCATATATTAGGAGTAGGAAGGAAGTCAGTGTGATTAGATTTGAATAAATGAAGGAAAAGGAAAAGGGAATGAGAGCAGAAAGGTAGTAGGATCTAGACCATGTAGAAATTTCTAGAAATTTGACTCTTAGTGAGATGGGAACCACTAGTGAGCTCAAAGTAGAGTAGTGACATGTTACAACTTATGTTTCTAAAAGATGGTTCTGACTTTTGGTGGAGAATAGATTACTGAAGAATAAAGAGAGAAGCTGATAGACCGCCTTGGAGCCTCTTGGATCAGGCAGTGGCTGTTGAAGTGGTGAGTTGCTGGAGTGTGGCTACATTAAATTAAGGTTGTTAGGGTTCGCTGATAGTTGGATGTGGGATGTGAAAGAGAGAAATCAAAAATGATTCTGAGAGATTTGGCCTGAATAACTGGAAGAAGAAAAATGAGTCTTAATAAGGCCAAGTTCCTTTGATAAGAACTTATCTATTTTGCCAATAAAAAGCTGTCACCAAGAAGAATCTTCCATTATCAAAGATTCTGAGTGAATTCACTCATAATGTACAATATGTTCAATTAATTTATGTTTTATGTCCATTGGGTATAATTAAAATGAAAGCTAACATTTCCATTATGCTTTAAGTGTAGTTATAGTATCTCTGTCAAAGAAAAAGGCAGGAATGAGCCCTAAAGGTAACAAATTGTCTATGGTGATATTGGTGGTCATGGTGGTGGCGATGGTGGTGGTGGTGAGTGTGTATGTAGGGGGAGAAGTGGTGAAATCTTGTTTTTAGTAGCTCTTCAATGAAAGATAGGCTGGAACTCCTCTGCAATATTTTAGATTGCTTAGGATGTCATGTCAGTTTTCATTGTTATTGATGTTAAACATTCTAAGAGTATCTCTAGCTTATGAAAAAGGTCCTGACATATTATAAAGATTATGAAACACGAAGACTTCCTATATTTCTGTGAAGCAACACTGATGACTTCAACAATGCAGTGCTAAGCTTTTATTGAAGTTCCTGGAACACTGTTACCTGGGTGCTTTTGTTCCATTAACAATTTGTAAAAGGTTTTGGTGGAATTTTTAACTATAAAACATCTTAGAGCATAATCTGTTTTTAGAAGATTAATTCTATCTGAAATAGAGAAGCAAATGATAAACAGCTTGTAGGAGACCAGAGAAATAGATTCTGTTTTGGTGAGGACACTAGTATCATTCCATATATAAGGACAGTTAGGAGGAAAAATCTGATAAGAAAAATGTATTGTCATGTTTATTGGATGAAATCAGAAGGTATTGCCAAGTTGTGGGTGGTAAAGTGGAGGGAAAAATAGGACCTTTATCAGTTAAAGAGAAAAAAGATGTAGAAAATTTTATTTCAAAAACATTTTTGGGGTTGAAGATTTAGCTCAATAGCATAAGCACCTGCCTGGCAAGCATGAGGTTGTGAGTTTGATCGCTGGTACCAATCAAAAACAAAATAAAACAACAACAACAATTTTTGGTTTATATAATTATTTGGAATTTCCCCCTACCCACTCAAAAAACAAAACAAAATCTTTCAAACTTCTATTTATTTGACAACTGGGATTGCTGAAAAGAGGGTTCAGGAATGAATTCTCGAATCCAGCCAAGATGTATACCGATGAAATCTGTTTGGTAGACGTGCTACTCATGATGGATAAAGAATTTAATTACTACAGAATAATTCAACATGTCCCCTGACTCTGGAGGGAATATGGTTAGGATTTAAGGATGTAGGATTTTTGTGCTTTATATTTTTAATGACTCAGGTCAAAGCATGTTGTTATGAGCAAGGCCAGTAAGAAGGAAAAACTGTGTCTGTAACTCGCTATAGCTGAGCAGGAGAAATGGACTCAAGTTTTAGTGCAGCTTAGGACACAATTTGAATGATTAGCAAATGTGAATAGCCTGCTTATGCCTTGTGGAAAGGCATCCTTGATGACAAATAACACTCCTTACAATTTAGACAGAGACTCCGGGAAGAGATATGCTGCTTTCCCAGGGGGTGGGAACATATGACATTTACCACCCCCAAGGAGATGCTACAGATGGAAAATATTACCAATTCCAGAGGTGTTTTAACATACATTTACAATAGTATCCATGGAAGTTTGAGTGCTTTTGGAACATTCCAGAATTTTTAGACTTTTATTCACTAGTCATTTTTATTAGTAAATCTGGTGTGCCACTTGTGAGACCTCAACATAGTATCTTTTATGTTCTAATTTCAGGAAAGCCTGATGGGATGAAAGAGTCATACACTGATTTATTTACTTACTATTTATTTTGCACCTATTTGCAGGGAATTAGACAAGGCAATAATGAATAAGAAATGAAGGACATTTTTCTTACAGATTATTATCTGGTAAACTATAATTATTATTATTATACTTTCCAAGGCTGTACAAATTTTGGTTGAAATGATATACTGATCGTAACAAAGTACATTTCTCTGGTTCTCTTGTCATCTAAACTGCCTATGGACCCCTGTCTATGGAAAAAGGTCTTGTACTCCTTGTTGGGAGTCTCATATGGTCTCTCACCAGTACCTCTTACGCCTGGTTTTCGTATGTACTCAGCAATCTGGCTCAGGCCTTTTTGCTCTTGAACAGTTCACTATCCCCATGGCCCAGTATCCATGTGGCTTTGCCAAGCATCATCAGCTCCCTCTCTTTGTAAGGCTTCACGATGCTGCTATGTGGAGTTCTTTAGGTGGGAACCTTGTGTCATACTTTCTGTAGTTTTCAGAGACACATCATACTCCAGGAAAAAGCAGATAGAACATCTCTTCACTTCTGGATCATACCATGAAGCAGGGCCATTGTCTTAGGGAGCTATCCCATAATAGTCCTTCCTGCTGTTATGTACAGCTTTTCCTCCACGATTTTTCACCTTTCTCTCCACACTTCCCATCCCCATCACCACAAAGTCCAATAATGATTATAGGATTTAGCATAGAGGGAAGTTGAGGTAGGATGGACAGATCTACTGGCAGCTCTTAATTCAGACTCACCTCTGCTGCTATTCTTAGATTAGCTTATGTGTCTGGTTCCCTTTCTCATAGGATGAAATACTCTTAGTTCTTGTTGGAAATAGACTCAGAGTTAACCTACTTACCAGGCCTACAGCCACATGCAAACATCTCAGACTGAAGTCTATTAACAATGCTTGCATTTGAATCTCACCATAAAACATTTTCATAGACACAATCTCCTTTCTTTCCCAAGAGCCCAGAGCTTTCTTACTCACTTGACAAATGAGGACATCGAGGTTTGGAGAAGTTAACTGATCATGACAATGGCCCTTAGACTTTGGGTGTGGATTTAATCATGTGATATCTGAGTCTTTTCACCCTCTGGCTTCCACACGTGTTTAATTTTCTATCTGTCCTCATGAAAACTATGTCCTGTCATAGGAAGAGACTGTAGTTTTTAGAAGGTCTGTTATTTCTTGCCCTTTGTGACTTTATACCTGTGCCTTAAATTTGGTTCATTGAAAACAATCTGAGATGCAAAATAGTGTGGGAGTGCTTACTTTCAGGAAATTTACTCACAAAGAAATGAAAAAGGAAATATTGAAGGAACTGAGAGAGGAGAGATTGTGATGAAGTGAAAAGGTAGCATTGATCAGAGGGAGGAATTGTTGTTAAGGGCTGAAGACAATCCTACAGAGAACAAAACTTTGGGCAAGACAATTTCCTGAGATTGAGGGCACTCAAGAACAAAGTTAAGGAAAGATATGAATACTTCATATTGATATTTCACCAGGTTAGGGGAGTAAACCTTGAAGATGGAGTCTGGGTGGAATACCAGATTATCCACCACAGGCATTTTCCTTCTACCTTAATGTCCTCACCTAGTTTAATTACTCTAAAAGTCTTGCTATATTTTCGTGTTTTGCAATTGAATCATATTTTTCTTATACAACCAATTTTTCTTGGAGTTTCTATTTGACATTCTTTCTCTTTCCCCACCACGAAAAAATAAACATATGTTTGAATTTAATTGCTAAACTGAGCCTGCTTCTTTATTTTAAAATGGATGCAATAGGAAATACTTTCTTTTTTTGGAGATATTTTTCTTGGATCTTCCTCATTTTCCATTCTATTTTGGAACTACCATGTCTAGTTCTCCTCCTTGGATATATAGTCATTGAATTCTTGCCTTAAAAACAGTATTTCTTGGATTCTATGCCTTGTTTCTTGTGTTTCTATCTACAGTCTTGTTACTTTCCTACAAAGGATTAATGGAGATAAGTTTTATCTAAAAAAGCATTTATTTTGCTTATTGGCTTGAAATAGGATTCTAGATTCAAAATAATTTCTGTTCATAACTTTAAAGTACAGTATTACCTATTGTTTCTAGCAGATAAAGTTGATGAGAAGTCTGCAGACTTAATGCTTTTTCTTCCTTTGTAGATAATCTGTCCCTATTTAGAGGAAATTTTGGATCTTCATGTTATACTCTCTCATCTGAAATTTCACTAAGTTATCACTAGGGATATGTTTTCTTAAGCCATTCTGTTAGACTGTTTGTGGTTACTTTCAATCTTTCCACCTCTTTTTTTTTTAAGTCTGGAAATAAGACTTCAATTACTTTCCTAATTTTTTTTGTAATTTTTATTTTAAAGACAATAAAAGCAGCAAAATAAAACTGAATGGAGCCAGCCAGAACAAAACAGTGCAAGTGATACAGGACTTGAAAACAAGACAATAGGAAATCAACAGTGGCTACCATAATGTGTCTTGTTGTCTTCAAAACAGCTGCTCATAACATCAGACAGCAAAAATCAAACAAAACAGGACAAAATAGAACCAATAAAAACAAAACAATGAACACAATAAAGGACTTCAAAACAAGAAAAATAGTAAAACCAAAATGGTTACAATAATGTATCTTGTTATTTCTTAAATAGCTGCCCATGCCATTGGATATAATAAAAACAAACAAGACTCAGAGAAAAAAAGCCAACCCATCAAAACAATGAAAATGATACAGAACTTCAAAACAAGACAATAGGGAATTAACAATGGCCATCATCCCCAGAAGGAGACTTCCCCATAGATGCTACATTGCTTATTGTTATCTTCTGAATAGATGATTAGACTACCAGCTTTAGGCCTGCAAAGTTAGTGAAACACTACATTCTACAAGCATGAAATTGCATTTTACCTCAATAGGCCTCATAGCAGCCTATGCTTCTCTGAATAAACTGGTCGCTTATGGTGTGGGGGTGGGGTGGGGAAGCTGGCTCTTGTTTCCCAGCCGGCACACAAGAAGGGGCTGGCATTTGGATCTCCCCTCAGTGGCCCACGCCTGGTGCCAGCTTGCATGGAGGACTTACTTCTTGTTGATTTCTTGTTCTCTTCCCCCACAGTCTGCAAATGGCGCCAACTCATGGGAAAAGGCTAGCATCTGGATCTTAATTTCTTTTTATATTTCATTCATGGACCTTTTCAATTAGTTCTCTGATTATTTTTTATTTATTTATCATTTGCTTCATGTTTTTGAAGAGTTACACTTCTTTTTGTTTTATAGTTTATAAGAAATTTGATAAAGCAATCACATTTTTAATGGCCAAAATCTCTTATTTCTATTTACTTTTATGACAATTTTTGTTTTACAAATGTAACTTCTCTACAATTTAGCACAAAGAAGCTAGGCTTTCATTCCACTGAACCTTCAAACCATTACAATATCCAAACTTGTGTTTTAGTAGCTTGTAGACCTTTCTCAAAAAAAAAAATTTTTTTTCTTAGAGGTCTGTGGGAATTTAAATGGAATATCAGAAATTGTATCCTAGCAAAGCAATTTTGACTGTGTTGTGACATTATTTTGTTGAACTCAGTGAAAATGATTAAAATGAGCTGCATCTCATTTTAAATTTGTTTAAAACCAACCCAGATTTTTTAGGGGAGCTAATCATGATATTTTGGGAATTCTTTGGGTCTCATTTATTGCCAATATGGGATTAAGTCAGTTAAGACAACACAAAGGGTTCAATGTTTATTGTATCTATTCAAAGTAAGGGAATATTAGGCATTACCATTACATTTAGACTAGGAAGTTTATAGAAAAACAGTAGAATTAAAGTGGGAAGTATATTATAAGAAGTCCATAAAATATGGTTAGTTATGAGAGGCTTTTTGTGGTAAAAGAATAGAGAGTCCAATTTAAGGAATGTGTTTTCCTTTAGCGATGACCTTCATTGCTGACGTGATGGAAAATAAATATTTTCAGTAAATAAAAGATGAAAGACTGAGAAATCCTTTCCAATGCAATGAGATAGTGCTGATGAGTCACTTCTGTTCTAAGTAAGAACTTTAGATAATTGTAATTTCAAAAGAACTTAGTTTCACATATGTTGCAGTTATTTTTAAATTATAAAAATCTGATCTTTGTGAGCAATGCCTAGGTTGGGATTGAGGCTGAATAATTCCTGAAAGCTTTTTGGCATTATCTATGCTTGCATTGTTTTCAACCATGAAGAGAAAAAAAACCCAAAATGCCCCCCTGAAAAACAAAAAAAATAAAACAGCAGTAAAGGAGCATGTCATTTGCAAATAAGGGTAGTATGACTTCTTCCTTTCCAATGCAAATTCCTTTCATTTCTTTCTCTTGATTGATTCCTCAGGCCAAAGTTTCTAGTACTATATTGAAAAAAATTGGTAACAGTGAACACCTTGTCTTATTCCTGATTTTAAAGGAAAGGCTTTTAGCTTTTCTCTACTTAGTATCATGTTTGTAAATTTGTCATAAATAGCTTATACCAATTCAAGATAAGATAAAGCCTATAGCCTGGGAGGCAACATACCTTCTCATCTGACAGTTTTTTAATATCTAGAATACTTAAAGAATGCAAAAAAAATAACACATACACAAAAATCTGCCCATAAATAATTCAGTCAATAAATGGGCAAATGAATTGAATAGATACATCTTTTTTTAAATTTTGAAGATAGTAAAATACAACAAAATAAGACAGAACAAAGCCAACTGAGACAATGCAGTGAAATTGGTACAGAACTTCAGAGCAGGAGACCTGGATAGCAGTTAACAGGTACCATAGTACATCTTGCTATCTTCACAATAGTTGTCCATTCTATCAGGTATAGCAACATCAAACCAAGAACAGAACATTATAAAACCTATCAAAACAGAATATTGAATAGAGCAAAACAATTGATCAGAACAAAGCAAAACAGTGAAAACAATATTTGCCTTCAAAGAGAAGATAGAAGGAAGTCCCCCATATTTGCTATATTGCTTATGATCATCCTCCCAAGAGAAGCTCAGATCTCTAGCCTGAGGTCAGCATAACCAACCCAAAAATATAAGCATTTAATTGCTTTATGTGCATTAGTTGCTATCAAATCAGGCTGTCCTGAACACTATCCAGTTGCTATCTGGGTGGGGCACGCATGGGACGTTTGATTCTCAGCCCGTGCGCCTGTCGGCTCCTGCACACATTGACTTGTTCTTTCCCTGGCGCGCCCACTGCTCATTCATGCCGCCTCTTGTTTACCAGGAAGGAGGGCTCTGAACATATATATCGTAAAAGAAGTGTAAATGGCAAATAAGTACATGAAAAAAATGTTCAACATCTTTAGCCATCGGGGAAATGTAAATCAAAACTCAATCTCACCTCAGTCAGAATGGCTGTTATCAAGAATATAAAAAACAATAAATGATGGTTAGGATGTGGGAGGAAAAGGAACTCTTCTAACCTATTGGTGATAATTTAAATTAGTACAGCCATTGTGGAAATCAATATGGAGGTTCCTTAAAAAAACTAAAAATGGAGGTACATTGGTATATCCTCA